CAACCATAACAGATATAAAGAAAGTTATGCATAAGAAATACTTTTGGTAAGAAAGGATCAGAACCACAATATTTACAGAGGTATTTGAAATCAAAGTTTATAACATAATGTGAAACTAAACTCTGTGTTTAAAACTGATGTTTTCTGGAAATGTTGATCCACTTTCAATAAAAATTTGCTGAAACTATCATTAGAAACAAGTTTGTGTTTTATCAAGATAATTTCTTTTGCTTTCTGATGTTAGGCTTTTGGTTATATAAGAAACTGCATTTTAAGACTTAAAAAGTATTTAAATGTTGGCTTGTTAAAAAAGTTTTCAATTATCAATTTATAATTGGTTAAATGAACAGCTGTTAGCTATCACATATCTTAAGATATATATATATATATATATATATATATATATTTGGGAAAATATATGTGACAAAATATCTGTAAGTCTAAATTAATGTTTATAGAGTTAGGATTACATAAGTTTAATGCATACAGCATAACTAGTAAGTGCCCTCTTATACAATATATATTACATCTAGACCTTAGACATAAAATGATTAAAAATATTGGCATCTCTTTAATTTGGTCTTGCACTTAAAACTTCATTGGCTTTGACTAAACTTTTTTAATGATAGAAGAGATACACTTTCATAATAAATCTGTTTATGGTCATTAACATTGTTTCCTAAATTCTGGGAGATATATACAGATATATGTAGTTTTTATTTAATCTAGTTTTTGAGTTACCTCTGCTACAAATGCAGGCCCATTGTCGCTACCAGTGATCAAGGGTAGGCCATATCTACAGATGATTTTTTTACAGCAGGACCCTACAAACTTTTATTGTCTTCTCAGTACAGGTGGGGAATGGGAAGTCAGAACCAGTGACAGACACTGAAGCCTGAGCTGACTACAGGGATACAGGTGTGAGCACAGTGGCTTGAGCTTGCAGAACAAATGGTGGAGGCAGGTCTGGTGACTGGGGTTGATGCTGCAAAGACTTTGACTGAGACTGAGATTAAGGACAATGGATTAATTATTTTTGCAGAAGAAATTTCAAGATGGTCTAATGTTGAAGTGGTGGCATGGCTACTGCTGGCAGTTGTTAACAGATCTATGTTGAGAATCCAGAGCAAAGAGCCCACCAGAATGTTTTAAAATTCTGTGAGTTTGGCCAGAAAGTAAGCTCTAGTAAAGCTGTGGATGAAAGAGCAGAGAAGTTTATTGCTGAGAAGGAAGAGAAACGTAGAAAAGATGGCCTGAGGACATCATAAGATAGCAAGACTCCAGGCTTCGTAGTCTCAAGATTGCAAAGATGTAAGATTTCACTTTGAGAGGAAAGCACAGAGCATCATGTTCCAGAATGGCAGTGACACAGAGAATTTGTTCCTCGGGATTGGGTTCAAAGTGCTCAGCAATCCAGCTACTTGACCCCTACAGCCAAGAGAGAAGAAGCCTGGGTACTGCTGCAGTGCTCCAATTGGCAGAAGACCTTGGTATTATCCACATGGTGCTGATTTTAGATGCATGCAGAATATAAAAGTTGTGGAGGGCAGAAGACTTCCACCCAAATTTCAGAAGAAGGCATGAGAGGCCAGCAGTGTGCCCCTGAAAGGGCCATGTGTTAACCTGTGAGTATGAAGCCAAAGTTGGAGTAGAGATCCAGAAGATTAGAGAGGTCGGGAATGTGGATCATCTGAGGAAAACTGCAAGGAGTGAGTAAAGCCGGCCCAAGAGAGAAGCTATGAGTGCTGCCACCACACACATTGTCATGGGGTGAAGCTGTCTAAGCACTTTGGTGTTCACATCTTGCTACAAACTGGAAAGGGGGTATTTGTCTTGGGCCGTTTTATGTTAGAAATGTTTAACTTTCTTTTCATGTGTACAAGGGCTCAAAGCTAAGATTTTGCCTTCAATCTCAGAGGAGCCTAGACTTGGACTTTTCAGCAATGCTGAAACGGTTAAGTCTTTGGCAGCTCTTGGAGATGGACTAAATGCCTTTTGCGTACAGGGATGAGTCTTTAGGCGGGTAGGGGCAGAATGTTATGGCTTGTGTTTAGGTGTCCTCCCAGATCCTTATGCATTCATAGGTGGGGCTCTTCAGAGGTGGCTAGATGTAGAGTGTATGATGCTGGGATTAAGTGTGTGTTGCTGGGAATATGTATCTGATGCTGTTATTAAGAGCGTGTGATTACTAAGTCAGTCCATTGATTGGCTGGCATAGTTCTGGGTATGGGTAATGAATGGGAAAGCTTATCCTGGACGTGAGTGCTATCCACCCTAAGGGCAGATAGCTTAGACAGAATATAAGGGACAGAAAGAACTGCTACTGTCACTTGTTGCTGTTGCCACTGCCTTACTACCTCACTGCTTTGGTGACTTTTGCCCACCATGAGCTCTGACCTCTGTGATGCCCCTTTGCCATGCCACCCTGGCTTGGAGCCAGCCAACTTTGAACTGATATCTCTACAAATTGTGAGCTAAATAAATTGTTACTCCTTTAACTTTGGGCATTGGGTATTTTGTTTTAGTAATGAGAAAAGTAACTAAGATGCCATTTTTCCTTACGTTTTTATTGTTTAGGAAAATTAAATCTTAGCTAGTTAACCTTACTTAGGTGTCTGCTTAAAGTTTTAGTTATACAAACTACTATTACATTTGATGTGCCTTATTTTTAAAAATGCCACTATCCTTATACAATGTAGTCAGTTATGACTGGTGTCTTAATATGCTGCAAAAGTAAATGGGTTGTTTTTGCTAAATTCCTACCTTGTTTATTGCTAATAGTCACATAATTGGCAAGAGTTATACTCTTCTTGCTCAATAACATATGTCGATTATCCCTGAGTTTATATAATCTCACCCCCTTCATGATTGACAACAGCAGAATGGGCAATATCCAAGGACATCCACCTATGCTTGAAAAGTCTCTAGCCACTGTCCTAAACTTGCTTGTCCTAAACTTTCAGTCACCTGGGAATAAAACTATCCCCCAATCATAAGCATTGCAGAACTGTAGCACTAGGACTGAGATAATGATCAACTAGCCCCCACCTGAGCAGCAAATCATTAAAAGTTGTCTCTTGCTTTTGGGGGCAGACAAGTCTGAACCCTTGTATTGGAGTATGCCTCTTGCAGCTACTGAAGCCAGAGTCCTTTCTGACCTTTCCTCTTAACTTTCTAGTTAAAACTTTTTTTCTATAAATTTCTGGTTTAATTTTTATTACTAGAAGCAAGAGTTCAAACTAGCCTACAACACTTACTTGCAAACCCTTGGGTAATTCTTTATAGAAATTAAAGTATAGAAGTTTCCTATTTTCACATGACATCACGCTTTTCTGTTCCTCTCAATCTTTTGTGCTTATAGCAACAAGAATGAGGTCATTACTTTAGGGGTCTTCCATGAGTTTATACTCTCAAATGAAAAGAATCAGCAGGTCCTGTGCTTGATTGTAGAAAAGGTATTGACCAAATCTTGCTGAATTTGACCAGGGCTCTCTTGGATTGATAAGGGCTTTAATAAGTCTTCTTAAAGAGGTTCTTGATAGTATGGGTTCTGCTTTAATGTAAAAAAGGCCAGCTCCTTGTGATACATTTGAATATGAAAGGTACCTCTTCTGAACAGGACTATATTACATTTTCCCTTCACTTCTTTTCCTTCAGAATGATTTTAAAAGTACACACTCAAAGATACCCGCACCATCTTAGCTTTTGTGTCTAGGGCTCTACTTGACTGAACAGATTATCCCTGGAATACAATTTCAGAGTTGAGATCTGCTGACTGCTTATTCAAGCTCATGTAAATAACAAGCTGGTAGGGGCTGGGGATTTAGCTCAGCGGCAAAGCGCCTGCCTGGCAAGTGCAAGGTCATGAGTTCGGTTCCTGGTACCAGAGAAAAACCAAAAAAAAAAAAAAAAAAATAACAAGCTGGTTACCTTTCCTCTTGCTGTGTGGGAGAAAGAAAGATTCTGTTCCTAAAGGAACTCGTCCTTTCATCTCTGGGAGACAGATCAGTTTGAGAAGCTTCTCAGATTAGAGTCCTTGACAAAGTAACTTGTTATATGAAGAACTAAGATAGCTAGGGATATTTAGTAGCAGGTAATACAAATTAGAGAATAACCTAAACTGTAGAATTTTTTCAAAACTCACATTAGGTAATCATTTTATGGCAAAATATAGAATAAGAAAAATGGAACTCCCAGTTAAATACTGGCATAACACATCCTCAAGGTAGCCGGGAAAGGGCACGTCTGGGTGCTGTGGTGGAAACGGCTAGTGGCTTTCATCAAAGTTGGTTAAAAAAAAGTTGTATGACTGATATTTTGCCATTGCCAAATTTAGTTTACTCATTGCTTTTTACTTCATAATGAAAACGTTGGTTTTATTTGTAACATGTAGAAGTGTGGAGATAAACTGAATTAATAGAGAAATTATAATTTTTCCTTTAAGATAAATTATCATAGAAGGTAAGCTCAGAATGCTGAAGTGCTGCCAGAATAAATGAACCATTTCACTTCTTTCATAAAGTTTTCAGTGTTTGAAACTGAGTTCAGAGTTGATCATACTTGTATATTCTGAATGATAGAGAAGTGAGGTTTTGTTTTTTTTTAAGTAACTGCTTTGCTTAATTTCACATTTGTTTAGTATTTCCAAAGTGATTGTTCTTTTTTACTTGCATCTCTAAATATGCACATAAAATTTATATTGCATTCTTCTTATTGGCTCCAACATTAAGTTGGATGTGGTGACACACACCTGTAATCCCAGCACTTGAGGTGCTGAGGCAGGAGGATCGCTGTGAGTTTAAGGTCAGCCTTGGCTATATATTGAACTCAAGACCAGCCTAAACTACATAGTGAAACCCTGTCTCAAAAAGCGTAAAGGACAAAGAAATATACTGAATCAGCCCTGGCTTATTACGTGTTTTTGACACTTGTCACTTATAAAGTGAAGTTGATATCTCTGTACAACTTTCTTCATCTTTGTCTCTTTTTCTCTCTTATAGAATCCCAAGGACTGCAGCAAAGCCAAGAAGCTGGTGTGTAACATCAACAAAGGCTGTGGCTATGGCTGTCAACTCCATCATGTGGTCTACTGCTTCATGATTGCATATGGCACCCAGCGAACACTCATCTTGGAATCTCAGAACTGGCGCTATGCTACTGGAGGATGGGAGACTGTGTTTAGGCCTGTGAGTGAGACATGCACAGACAGATCTGGCATCTCCAGTGGACACTGGTCAGGTAGGGAGCTTGTGCAGTGTATCAGATTTCTGGCATGAACAGATTATCAGAGTTCTAGGTACATTTCATGGATCAAAATCACCTGTTCTTTTGAATCCAGGTATGCTATGTTATCCAAATAAGATGTAGAAAAATAGTATTATATTTTTAAAAATATTTTATGATTTATTTCATTTCTTATGCTTATTTATATCTAGATTTTACAAAACCATGGGAATTTTTCAAGGAATATAACTTAATCTTTTAACAATAGTGATACAGCATTCACTTTTTAGGGTGCTTTCACATTACTGAATTCATTTGATCCTTGTAAATTGATATATAGTATACAATTTTATATATTGTATATATTATTCTGTACAGTGTATGATTTACTTATAAATTTTTACATTGTATAAAGTAGATGTGTGGTTCTCAAATATTAACATGCCTGGAAAACTTTTCAAACACTGGTTTCTGATTCAGAAAGTCTGGAGGAACGCTAAGCATGTGCCTTCTAACAAAATTTCCATAACGTGGAACCATAGAGAACCATTGAGGTAGACTGTTAAAGTAACTTATCTCTGCTTTTATAGTTGGAGACACTGAAGCCTAATTGGTTTGTTATTCGGTGTTTTGTTCTGCTATATTGAGGATTGAATGCTGGGCCTTCCATACTTAGCTACACCGCACTCCTTTTTATTATTTTGAAATAAGCTCTTGCTAAGTCACGACCTTGCCCACTCTGGGCTCTAACTTGCCATCTTGCGCCCTCAACCTCCAGAGTGCTGGATTTTTCACAAATGTGTGGCACCATATTCAGCTTGTCTTATTTTTTTTTATGTGATTTTAACTTTATTCAGCAAACATATCATGAAGAAGAACGTGAATTAAGTTGCTGTGCTAGGCATTCTGAAAAGATCATTCCTTCTCTCCAAGGAAGTAATAGACTATATAGTCTCACTGCTAGTCTACTGCTTTTTTTTTTCTCTACAATCATGATCTTTAAGATCTAAAGTTGGGCTATCTGTGTTTTAAAATCCTTGTTTTTTCATTCAGTAATATTAGGGAAATTACTTAACCCAGGCCTTAGTTTTCTTCTCAGTAAAATGAGCAATAATAACTTACCTCATTGAACTATTTATAGCATTAAATAATATATGCAATATGCTTCCACATGATAATGCAATACATGATATGCAATATGCTTACCACATGATAGAGCTCTATAATTGTTAGGTACTATTAATAGGTTTCACTTATTGAGCAAATATATAAAGAGTGCTTACAGTGTGGCAGATACTGAACTAAGTGACTAAGACCAGTGCTAAACAGGATGGTGCACTGTTTCTGCATTTGTGTTTTGTGGGAAGTCAGGCGTCTTCAAAAAGCTGGTTGTCAAGTATGTAATTTTTGGGGAGGGTTTTTTTTTTTTCCTTTTCTTTTCTTTTTTTGGTTTGGTTTGGTTTGTTTGGTTTTGCCTCCTTAGCAAGGGAAAAAAAGTACCTGACTACTTGCAGAAGAGTCATGAAAATTAACTGGATAATTTTTAAAAAAATATTTTGAGTTGCTCTATAAAAGGGCTTGCATGGATTAATAGTACTGTATAGGTGATGTATAAGATATATATTAACATGTTTCTGTATAAGTCATTTCATATGTTAAAATGAACCTCATGATCTGGCACCTCACTGAGTTTTAGTTTTAAGGTTATAGCTTCTTGGTCTGTAGTTTATCAATAATGCTGGCAGAGGGGCTGGGGATTTAGCTCAGTGGCAAAAGCGCCTGCCTGGCAAGCGCAAGGTCGTGAATTCGGTTCCCGGTAACGGAGAAAAACCAAAAAAAAAAAAAAAAAAAAATAATAATAATAATAATAATGCTGGCAGATAAGATGTAAAAATTAAGAGGATACTGTACTAAATTTGTCAGCCTTGAAAAGAAACTCTGCCATGCTTGCTATAGCTGATGTTTTTCATTTCATGGACTTAGTTCAGTTTTGAATTCAGTTTTAACTTCTATGATTACGGAAATTTATAGCCAAAATAGAACATGTGTGATGTCCTATTTTCCTGTTTCCAGGGAAAGGCAACTCCCCGTTTCTCCTCCCGCAAATACTGAAGATTGAACCCAGGCCTTTGCGCTGAGTTACATCCACCCCCCTTTGTTTATTTTGAAACAGGATCTCTCTAAGTCCCTAAGTTGTCCATGCTGGACTCAAACTTGGCATCCTCCTTCCTCAGCCTCTCAGAGTACTGGGATTACAAGCATGCACCATCACACCCGGTGCTGCATTATAAAAAGTGTAGTTGCCATCCAATTATGACTTCATTTGTGTACATTATCTATCTACATATACATCCTTTGGAGAAACTGATTAGCAGGTTTCCAAGAATTCGAGCAAGCAAAGTGAATTCTGATAAGCTCCTAGACATTAGCCCTTTAAGTAGTTATAAGTCAGCTATATCTATTGTTGTTCTGACCTGTGCAAAGAATTGTAGGCCGGATAAGGTGGCACACACCTGTAATCCCAGGTGAGACAGTAGGATTATAAATTCAAGCCCAACCTGGGCAACTTAGCAAGATCCTGTCTCAAAATAAAAACAAACTCAAAAAAGAATCTTGGGATATTTTGGCATCTCTTCCCTGGAATTATTATTTTTCATATACACTTGACATGATATGTCTATGGGTAGAATTTTTTGATTCCCATGTCACTAATACAGGAATTATCATCACACTTAATCATTTCAATTTCTACATCCATACCTTGTTATAACTTGACTTCTTTCTCCTGCATTAACAGTTGTAAAATCATATCCTTAATAATAAGTAATTTTGTTAAATGAAGGAAAATGTTAAAGATTATGCTTCCACTTAAAAATGATCAAAATCTTTCCCACCACCTACACATATATGTCCTAATAGTTTTGTGTTCAGAGGTTCCTGATGAAATGATCAGTGTACTTTTCTGTGCCACACACTATTTCCTGTGCTAACTACATGTAGGAGACCTCCTGATTCTTCCACAGATTCCTTGTGATAAACCTGTGCTAACTACATGTAGAAGACCTCCTGATTCTTCCACAGATTCCTTGTGATAATCCAGAGTGGGAATCTTCTGGAGTCAGGGTCTTATTATTAGTCTGAGCCAGCCTTGAACTTGCTGTCTAGCCTGGGCTGCCCTCCGACTCATGTGATTTCTCTTAGCTTCCTGAATGTTGGAAGTGCTGGGATTAGGAATGTGCCACCACATCTAGCTCATTTGCTTCTCTGTTTAATGATTTGAAGTATCCTTAAAAATTACTGATTCAAAGTATGTTTGCTATCTTAAGCTATGTTTGATAATTAACTTCCAAAGAGCTTTTCTAGTTGGTATAAATACCCTCGAGTAAGGGGCTTAATGACAGAGAACCCCAAGCATTTAAGTTTAATTCTCTACTGTTTTTTTCTTTTATATATATTGAAAAATTATTAATAGTGAGACTAGTTTGGCTGCTTTGTCTTTGCTTCTGTTATCTTCCTCCCATTGCTTTAATAAATTTGTAACAAGTTGAAGTGAGTTACTTAATATGATAAATCTAGTTGGAAAACATTTTTGTAAATGAAAATAAAGACTAGTAAGAAATAGTTTGCTCCAGAGGTGCCTGGTTAGCCATTTGCAATACTTGCAATAGCCATTTGCAGTATTTATTTGCCTAAAAAATATTAGATGTTTACCTTCTCTCCAAGCCTCTTTCTATAATGGTTTGGGTTAGAGAGGTTTATTTAACATACATTCGTAACGTTTATGTGGAGGCAGCCTTAGATTAAAAGTGATTGAGGCCAGGCATAGTGGCATGTGCCTGTGGTCCCAGCTGCTGGAGAGACTGAGGCATGAGAATAGCTTAAACCCAGAGATTGAAGACCAGCCTGGGCAACATAGCGATACCCTGTCTCACAATAAGTAAGTAACTGAATAGAAGCACTTGCAACGGGCCAGGCACCCTTGCTAGACTACGTGGAGAAGACGTGGAGTAGTGCTTCCCTTTCTGGGCTTTACATGGACAAAGGCAGATGGCTGAATGGATAGTTAAAGTATATTTTGATAATGTTGTAATGTGGATAAAAGTATTCTGAAACATAACTTTTGTACATATGTGGAGACTTCAGAAGAAGTGATTTTTAAGCTGAGACCTAAAGTATTAGTAGGAGTCAGCCAGGTAGAGACAACAGAAGACTTTTCTGTCAGTGGGCGCAACTTGTGAAAAAAGCAAGAGGACGTGGACTCATTGAGAGAAGTGGAGGCAGTTCATTGTAAAGTTTGAATCTTGAATGTAGCTGAAGTTTTCTTTTAAAAATAAGTGTCACTTTCAGGGTTTTCATTTGGATGGTTACATGACTTTTGTCCCTCATTGAAACTAAGATTTTAATTTAGAAGTCAAAGCCTTTTATTTTGGTTCAGAGTGGACAAGAGTTATAGGGAATCAGATTGTTTTCAGCTTCTTGGTGTTGCCTTAGAATAATTAAACTTTAAGTGAGTATTTTTAGATCAGAAAGAAGTCCTTAGCAAGCAGAGCACATACTAAAATATGCGCAATTCAGTATAACAACCATTGTTGAATTTCTGCCATCTTGTTTAGTGAAGCTCTGTATCATTTCTAATTTTTTAAAATTATTTTTTATTCTCTTTAATTGTTTGATCATCTTGCATTCTTACATCTGGTAATCTGAGCAACTTCACTGAAGGTAACAATATGTAGTATAACAACCGCTGATAATCCCTATCATTTTGTCTTGAAACCCTGTGTCATTTTTATTATTTTTGCTTTGTTTTGCTTTTGTCTATGTTGTTATTTTTTTATTCTCTTTTAAAAAAAAAAATAAAATATACACAATTCCTGTGAAGGTAATATTTTTAACCTTTACAAAACTACTAACACATATATAGAAATTATCTAAGTGTTCTAACTTGTCTCCTTAATAGGAGCCTACATCAGGTAGATTCCTGGTGGATGGACTAGTATTAACCAATAATATGACTG